TGGTAGCCACAGAATTTCGATGCCAATAAAGAAGTAATGGAAGTTGGTCCAGAAACATATGAAGTTCTGCCTGAGCAAGGGGATTAAGGACATGGCCCCTAGTCAGAATATCACAAGCCCATCGAAGGTTTTTGAGAGGGACTTCGTCCTCGAGAACATTAAAAGGCAAGTGAGAGAAGGCTGCAAGCAGAAGTTGAGCCTGTTTCCGCTCAGCTGGGGTAGGAGGAGGTAGAGGTTTATAAGGTAGAAAGACATTCTCCATGGATAGGGCAATCTTCAGTTTCTCTGTCCAGGAAAGAATTGGTGGCGGAAGAGATATGCATACTTCAATTTCGGGAGACGAAGAAGAAGGTGTGGACGCTTCTGTTTTCGGGGATGATACGGGAGCAAAAGGAACAAAGGCATTAATATAATCAAGCCAGTCAGAAGAACAGATCTTCGCCTTCTGGGTTAAGAATGATGGGTTATACCCTTGTGCTTCTTCTGGGCGAGGGGCAGCGTGCACTATCTTTGTAGGCATGGAAGATATATACCATGCTACAAGAAGATTCTCCTTCAGACTACGCCGATGGTCAATGGGCACATAGGGATAAACAACTGAACTTCGAGTATAGGAAGGAAACTCTAAAGGGTCAGTGAACTCAACAAAATGGTGGTTGATTCGCCCCTTCAAATCATAAGTCTCAGGTACTGACCAGCTTGTCCAGTCAGAACCCCTAGAAGAGGAAGAAGTTGCAGCTTTATCCCATACAGAAATTTGCGAAGAAGAGTTGCTCAAATCCATATTTGCAATTTTCCGAATCAAAGGTTTGAGAGCAGATTGTTCGAATTGTAAAGGTAGGTCAGAGGGGAAAAATCTTATGTCTATGTTTATAGCCTTTTGAATCGAAGGATTAAGAGCAATGTGTTCGTAATCCAAAGGTCGGTAATTTGCAAAGGCGTCCATGACCTGAATATAGAAAGGTGGGTAAAGGTGGCTAATAAATGCATGCTTTCGATGAGAAATAGCATCGACATATGACTCTTCGTATGCTTCGTCACTGGAGGAAAGAATTAATTTGGCCATGAAATGTATCAGTCTGTTCGAATAATAAGACAATGAAAATACTTAAAGGATCAAGACGAGAGTATTAATACAGATGGTGAGTGACAGTTGCATTTCTAGGAAGATGCAAAACCCATGCACGTTCTAAGACGTGGGAAAAGGGACCCTGATCCACTAATATCACCAAGTCTTGGGTATATTAGTGCGGGGGGTAATGTTGGCTACACATTTTGTGCTAGCCAGTGACAATTAGACGCGTGGCAAAGTAAGGGTAATATGGGGAGACCAGGCAGGTCTTCGATCCTGATCATACACGTGACAGTTAATATTGGTTGTTATAAGATCTGAGTAGTAGCGGATCAACAAAGAGATGTACGGTGACGTGGCTTCAACGGTTGCTCACATTCAAATTCGAATATAGGGGGGAAGCCTAACTGCAAGTGAAGGCATAGTGGAACTACTTATAAGGTAGCATGATCAACGATTATGGAGGAGCAGTTCGGCGGTTTGAAGTACAATTCGATGGTTATCTTCGGAGAGTATAAATAGCAGGAAGGACTTCAGAGAAGGGGACGAAAAAAGATCTGAAGAATTACTTTACATATTCCAGTGTTATTTCCTGTCCTTTATATTTCTGTACTTTAAGTTCTTGCGCTGCACTTCATTTGTAGGAGTAGTTTTCGAGTATATTGCCGCTGTAATTCTCTACGGAACTAAGATCATTGTAAGTTTTTCATACTAATGAAATGCTTCAGTTTATTTAACTGTTCTTATGCTCAAGTTCTCTGAAGTCAATTTACCAGTAAGCCACCAGTAAAAGTCCTCTTTATTGAGGCCAAAAGAACCATAACACAATCGTCTGAATAATTGTTTGGCAATTACAATTCTGTAAGGACTGATTGATCCTTGCTGGCACGCTCATAATTACAAAAGTAACCTTCGAAAGCCAAAAAGCCAACAATAACATAATTTGTCGCGTATGCGAAGGCGCACCAATGCCATATGCGGGTCCTCATCCCCAACCATTAAACCATCCTCGTCATGTTCAACTTCTGGTATGGCATTTATTATTGTCATAGCCTCTTCCTCCTCACAGATTGGGTGAACAGTTGTTAGATTACCTGTGTTTCGCCGTATATAATTATGTAATGCCATTGACGCACCTACTAACTGAACTTGCACATTTGCAAAGTCATACCGAGGCATGTCTCGAATAAACCCCCATCGATTTTTTCAGGCACCGAAAGTGCGTTCCACCACACTGCGTAACAACGAGTGAACTTTGTTAAATAATTCCCTTGGCGTGTTTGCCGTCGTGTTCCGTGGAATACGTCGGAATTCTTGTTGGTGGTAACAGCTGCCTCTGAATGGTGCTAAGTAACCTATCCGGTTTGGATAGCCAGAATCGACAAGATAATATTTTCCTGCAGAAAGGACAAAAATATATGACACCAAAAACATTCATTGTGCTTCATTTTCAAGTAACGCTGTTTGACAAAAAATTATAGCCCCATCAATGCAGAATTCATGGCATGGTGTTACCTTCGTTAGGATGTGGAAATGAGACATTGTCATTTGTTAGTATCTCGTTGAAGATGCGACTATCATGCATACTTCTTTCCTATCCGCATGAAATGAAGATGAAACACATGTCAAAATAGCACGCGGCCATGATATTTTGCGTGTGACAGTATTTCCTACAGAAATATGTTGCTGCATCTAGCCCCGTAACCCATGCACTTACATGTGTTCCGTCTATTGCTCCAATACAGTCCTTCAAACAACCTAATTGTAATATTACTTATGATGGGTAACAAGTAATGGTTATTTTCATACGTTACGTCCAGTTAATAATAAAAACAAAATAACTGCACTTCGCACTTATATGTCAATAATGTTTTTCAGTAGTACCTTAAACGGTAGGTATTTCTGTCTAGACCGCATGTATGGATGTATACGATGCTGACTGTATGTGGGCCGACAATGAACAACAGTGAACTCTTTCATGGAAGTTAATACATTATGCACGTACCGAGACACAGTCTCCCCCGAATGTTGGAAACGTTCTTGGATTTGCCGATTTTGTATCCCTTGCAACACGTGGATAAACATTGCAATGCTTTCTTCAACAGCTAAGCCATGTGGCCGTTGCGGTACTTGTAACCAAAAATCATTTACTAATGTCTCACACAAAGCGGCAAACACTTCTTTCGGCATGCAAACATTTTCCTCAAATCGACCCATATGGCCCGCATATAGTTCGCATATCCATGCATGTCCAGTCAATATCGAAGTGCGGCATGGCGTTTTAACCATGTGTTTTTCGTACCACTCTGTTGCATACTGGCATGCTTGTAGAAATGTCCAATTGTTTTCTTGTTGCAGCTGTACTGCCATTTGATTAAGCATTTCCCTTAATTCGTCATTGTTGCTGCCATCCGAAGGATTCATCACGTCTTCGTTGATGCGAAACCTACAAGAGTGGCACTGTTTCAATCAGTTTGCACGTATGAATGCCACATGGTTTTTAATATACGTAATGCCATCACCAATGTCATTACTAACACATCATGATACGAATTGAACAAATTATGAACCTGGTCGTTATATTTTACAGGGGGACCATGGTGGTAACAACCACAAAAATGACGTCAAACTAACATAACAGTTTTCCTCGCAAAATAAAGTCATACAAAAGCTAGCAAGAAAACCGTCGTTGCGCATTTCATTGCCATACATTTAATTAAAACAGAAGTATCCCATTCCTATCCCAAAAAACGCACAACCATGCTTCCATTTTTTCTACGACAAACTTAACTAAAAGTTTTGTTCACCATAGCTAGCAAGAAAAAAAAACAACAAGAAAGTAATAAAAACATGCAAACACAACCATCCTGTTATAATATAGTGCCAACAATAACATAAATAAAAGTTTTCAAAAGCAAGAGAAGGGCAGGTATCTTTAACAATCCTAACACCCGCACAACACATCCGGCGAGCCCCAAACAGGTTCGCAAACGACGCCGACGTAGTACACTGGAGCTGCTTTTGTGTAAGCCACCCTATGATGTGGTCGTCATCAAGCTGGCACATCATCACCTCCCGGTAATCGGCGTTATCCATAAGTGTCAAGGCGAAGTGGAATAACGGCGTACCAATCAGGGATGGAATACTCGTCAGGCGATGCATGCACTCCGAAATAGTGTACAGTGATTCGTTGCCTGTGAGGTGCCTCACCGTAACCTGCTGATTCTTCGTACGCACCACATCAATTAGGTTGTTCATGCTTTCCGCAATAACTGACGCCCCACTTGTTGCCTTCTTCGACTTTGAAACACATGTTGATGGCGTCTTTCTCCTTTTCCCCTTTTTAATCGGAACATGCTCCAGTGAAGAATCTGAATCCACGTCCTGTACTCCTACGGGTATCGAATCAGCAAATGGCTGGGTTCCCAGACTATGCACTAAATCAAATGAGTCATCAGCAGCTTCAGGAAGTTTCTCTCTCGGGGTCCAATGGTGCTTACTAGTAGCTGATGCCCCCATGAAGATCGTCTCCATCAACTCACGATGTTCCAAGGTTTTTTTCTTGAACTTGGCACACACCTTGTTTATCTGCAGAAATAGAGATATATGAAAGAGAAAGACGTTACATTTCATATAATTAATTAAAAGTTTAGTAAAAAAGTAAAAAATGTACTGGTAAATGACAAATATGAAACTTGTTTGTACATGTACTTACCGATTCCATCTTGTCCCACCACTCCTCAGGTGCCTGAAACATACCGGTGTCACAGTCAAACCCTATTCCTGACACTCCTTTGCTTGAATCCATCAACTTTGTCCACGCTTGCCACTATTTTTTCAAACTCATGTACTTATTCTTCAACTGTTTCAGTCTATGTTTTCTTCCTGTTTTTTTCTCAAATTTCCTTGCCAAGGACTTGTACCCTACATGGCTGAGGACTAGGAATGGGCGATTTCCTTTAGTAATCTTATTCGCAATCAACTGGAGGAAAACTCGGATTGAGTGACTGTCCCATGAGGCCTTGTGGCTGAACTGATTATGTGTCTCTTTAAGACTGCTTGACTTCTCTGTGACAATGCTTTTGCTTTTGGATTGGGTACGCGGAGAAGTACGTATGAAAGCCATTACTAATGTACGGTTACAAAAGATTACCATCACAAATTCGGTTGTTATAGACAAACGCATAAGCCATTGCATATTAATAACAACAAACAGAGAGATAGCATGGTAAATTAGACAACATATAACCATTGCACATTAATAACATACATACATAGGTTCCATGGAACTCAGTAGTGGACATAGTTATGATAGTCATTAATACGTCTACTGTTTCGTAGTGGAGGAAGGCAAAGGCAGCTTAAAGTCATACTAAAACATACTACCAACATACTAACAACCTCGTAACGTGTTTGTACATACTGACAACATCCTAACGTTGCTTACATACGGAACAACAAAATAACAACGACAATGCATAGCACATAGACAATGGTCTTAAGGACACGCAAGGATTGTTGAATATCTATGACATCAGCCCGCAATTGCATGACAATTTCGTCTCTGGGTGACGCATAGTCTTGGTTCTCTCGCCTTGATTCTTCGCACTAACCAATCCAACTGTCACAGGGCTGATGAGTGCAAATGATGGAACTATTAGTGAATGGGTTGTTAATGTTCATACAGTTATGACCGGTAAAGAATGGATCACTCACCACAGGCGCGGGGACATGCAAAGTAGGAACGCCCTGGATTTTCGGTGGACCTGGAAATCTTAACAATACAGGGGCCATGTCCACAGGCACACATTCGTAGTGGCCATGTACTGGAAGTTGCAGTAGAGGTAAACGAAGCCATGCTATGCTTTACAAACATTCGGAAGTGACAATGAATCATACAAGTAATTAGTTTATGTTATCCATATATTAGGTTAAACATGAACTGAATACGTTATGCAGTAGTTTCATAGGATAGGTATAGAAACTAACAACTTCCTTTAGTTTATTTTAAAGCAAAGCAGCCTACATTATCATGGTTTCACTGTGAAGGTGGTACTAGAAAAACAGATATATAATTTCCTTTTCAAACCTAACAGATAAAAAAGGGCAACCTAACCGTGTGTTTACATGACTGAAAAGAAGAATTCATGATCAAATTAAGTCAGAACATTGTAAATTATGAAGCCGTAATCAATAGACAATTCAATTAAATTTACATGAATCAACATGATAACGTACAAAGACTAACGTAGTCGTAATTTGATTCCATTAACGAAATTGAATTTTTGTAAAAGTATTGTGCATCTTTAATTTACGTATAGTGGTAGGAGTATTTATTAACCCATATGCACTTGCACAGATTTGATATATAATCATTAATTTTATTATTATTACTATCTAGGTTATTATTATTATTGTTATTATTTTCAGGTGTTTTTTGAAATTTGAGAATAGTTTATTTATGTCAATAATTTAAAAGATTATATTTGTATCCAGATGACTAAAATTGGACATACTTCTTTTAAAAAATATAAATAAAATTAGTTTATATATACTTAGACTAGATCAACTGAAAAAGAGTTATAAGCAGTCACACTCCAATCCATTTCACACCCAGTTCAGAATGTCACCAACCAAATGTTTGGTATCACACAGTAACATTAAATCAATTAGATTTGGTAATATTATGACGACTCTAATAATATAAGGGAAATATAATAAAGAACACTAGTACAGTAATCAAGTTAACAGAAAAGCGGATATATGAATAACCAGAAAAAGTGACCTTCAATAACATAAAAACAAATCAACTTTGGATTTTATAAAACATAAATTTGTAGACAAAAATCTGACATTTCTTTCTTCATTCAGCATTGACATATATGAATGAAGTTGAATAACCACAACCGAAAAATGAAAAATCAAGTTATGAATAATGAAGACATAATCAGATATTCATTCAGCATTGAGCATTGACATTCATTTAGCATCAGATATTCATTTAGAATCTGATATTCATTTAGCATTGAAGACAGAATGAAGACAGAATCAGATATTCATTATTCACATATTAATTTATTTCTTCATTCACCAATTTTTTTTTCTCTCTTCATTTAGCATTAACAGTGTTTGAAGAAGTGAAGACAGAATCATATATTCATTCATAGAACCCATTCGGATTTCAATGAAGAATCACAACACTGAATGAAGACAGTAGAGGGTTTTATTCAGATCTAAATTTAATCAAGTTAACAGTGTTTGAAGAAGTGAAGTTGAATAACCACAACCCAAAAATGTGACATATTTGAATATTAGGACAATTTATTGGAAGAGAGATGCAGATATTCCCTTCAGCATTGACAATGTCTCAATAAGTATTTCACAGATAATAAATCAATAGGTATTTCACAGATAGAGACATCCTCTTCAGCATTGAGTAAAAAATCACAGAACCCATTCATTCACAGAGTCAGATTTCCTTATTCATTCACAGACTCAGATTTCATGACAAATCAATAGATATTTAACAGAATCAGATATTCATTCACAAAATCAGATTTCATTCAACATTTGTATACATCAATTTGAACTTGTTTGGCTTTTTTTTTTTTTCATTTTTAATGAGAATTATAAGAAAAAAAATCAAAAGAAGAACAAACTGTTTAAGAATCTCAACAGATGTATAAGAAGAGGTTGTTAAGGTTCTTTTGGTGTATCTGTATTTTAATTTTTACCATGGGTTCATCTATATATATATATATAAGAACAGAACACAAGCAGATCGGTAATGAACCCAAAATGTGTCAAGAGTATTTAACCGTAATGAACCCACACGATAAGCCAAAAACAGAGTCGGCCATTCCTTTGAAATTTGGAAAAAAAAATTCTTTAACAGAGAAAGGGATTCTACACATGAACCCTAAGCAGATCGGAAGCAGCGGCCACACACACGCGAATAGGGAAACAAAATTAGAAGGGTTTGAAAGAATTACCTGAAGATCGGTGGTGTTTGAGAGGGTTCGTTCTTGTTCGCCGCCGCCAACATACGCCCCAATCGTTCAATTTGCCGACTTGTTCGTGAGTCTTCTTCGACGCCGCAGATGCGTAGTCCGCTGCCGATCGCCTCTGCGAAGCTGCCTCAGATGTCGTCGTTGCTGGTATACATTAATTGCCTTTTTCGTTTGTTGTGTGCCCTAGGAAAGTTGTGTGTGTGGTGAGGCGTTGGGCCTCAGAATGAGAGGAAACATTCAGGGTATTTTGGTAAATTTACCCTAAGAAGGGTTTTAACCCAACCCGTTCAAACACTTTTGTCTTCATGTAGCTAAATAAGCTTTTTTTTGTCCGGACGTGGCTAATTTAGACTCAACTTTCCTTCTCAAACACCACCTTATTTATTTATTTTTTCAAAAGAAAAGAATAATTTGACTCAATGATAAGACTTCTGGTTAATATTCTTAATAATGCAGACTCAAGTTATGAAAACAATTTTTTCAGGGCAAATTACGCTAACAGTCCCTATAGTTTGAAATTTGTGTCACTTTAGTCCCTAACTTTTCAATTGTGACACATTTTATCCTAAATTTTGAATTCTGTTCCAAATAAGAACAATTGAAGATATCATTGTTTAATTTCAAGGGCAAAATCGTCAATTTAATAAAATATAAACTAATTTGACAAAAATAAATGTCAAAAAAGTATTTTTAATTTTTTTAAAATTATTTCTATCCACTAAAGATAAAATTATGTAAAATTGATTAAAATTAATAAAAATTACATGATTAATTTTTAAAAATTAATTTTACATGATCATCATCCAAACACATAATAAAAATTAATTTGGTAAAAAAATAAATAAATATCTAAAAGATTTATCAATTTTATATAATTTTATCTTTAGTTGGTAGAAATAAGTTTTAAAAATTCAAAAATATTTTTTTGACATTTATTTTTATCAAATTAGTTTATATTTTATCAAATTGATGATTTTACCCTTGAAAAATCTAATGGTATATTTATTTAGAACAAGATTCAAAATTCAGGATCAAATGTGACACAATTGAAAAGTCATGGACTAAAGTGACACAACTCTCAAACTATAGGGACTATTACTGTAATTTATATATTTTTTTTTTTTCAAAGTATGTACTATATCTTATTATATTAAATCTTTTTAGTAAAAGCCAGGTGCACCGGGTCGCATTTTTTCGGAAAGGGAGAGCTAAATTTTTTTTGTTTGTTCACTTGTATTTAATTCTTTCTTGCCCTTGGGTGGGTAGGCTTTCATTATTATCGTAGGAAGAATAACTGATGATGTATGGACTGATCCGAGAGGAGGGGTGAGGAAATGAATAGCCAACCAACCTCATTATGCCGTTTGCCATCCAAAGGGATGTTTTGAAAATTGGATCATTGAGCACATATATTAAATTAAGGGTGAGTCAATTACAATTAAACTCGGATGTTATAATTAATTTATAAATATATTTAAAATTATATATCAATAAAAAATGAAGATAATTTCAGAGACAGCATGGGAGAGAAGCAAAATAGAGGGGGACAAAAAGTTGAAGAGGTACATTCACTTGAACATACAAGACTTTCTGGCTTCCAATTCACTTGTGTCAAATAATAGCTACATTGCAACCACTTAAACAATCAAAGTGAGCAGAAACATGTAAGTGTATTATTCTATTACACTGATACAACAGTGTTAAAACAAAAAAAGGGAAAATAATTTATTCTAAAAAGTGAATCCTAAAATCTTGACAACAATGACAGTAATCCAACCCCAGAAGAAGAATTTTTAAGCATTGGTTTCTTCAAGAAATGGATAATCAACATAACCAACAACAGGATCAGGAATACAGAAGGTCTCGCTACTGTACTTGTTAAGAGGAGCATTGAGCTCAAACCTCCTTGGCAAATCCGGATTTGCCAGAAACAACCGACCATATGCCACAAGATCTGCATGGTTCTCTGCCACGGCTCTCATACCATCTTCTCTGTCATAACCTCCCGAGTCAATGAAAGTACCCTTGAAAGCCTTCCTCATTGGCAAAAGCATGTCGGGGCATTCAAATTTTTCTCCAACAGTTTTCACTCTAGGCTCAAGCATGTGGCAATATAGAATCCCATATTTATTTAATGATTCCGCCATGTAAAGACCTAGAGCTTTTGGATTTGAGTCCCCGGATTCCATGTAATTTGCAAATGGAGAGAGCCTAATTCCAACTCTACCAGCTCCTATCTCATTGACAATGGCTTCAACGATTTCGAGTGCGAATCGGCAACGGTTCTCCAAAGAGCCTCCGTACTTGTCGGTTCGGTCATTGATTTGGTCTTTCAGAAACTGTTCTACTAGGTAACCGTTAGCTCCGTGGATTTCAATCCCATCAAAACCTGCAAAAGAAACAATAAAAGCAACCTGAGCTTCATTTGGTATGAGAAAAATCTGGTTTCTCAAGTTCTTACAGCATTTTTCAAAGAAAATGTCTCTTTTTATGATCTTATAAATCTGACAATGCTTAATATTAATGAAAATATAGCCACAAACTTACCAGCTCCCATTGCATTCCTTGCAGCGAGTCTGAAATCATTAACAATTTGAGGAATTTCATCAGTCCTTAGTTTCCGTGGAGGTGAAAATTGTGCAACATCAACACCATTAGTCAACGACTTGTCTGTAGAGGAGATTGGAGCTTGCCCTTTTGGCTGAAAACCTGTACATAGTAATTGCTCAAGTTAAGAGAGAACCAAAATTGTTTTTATTTTGTTTTTATCAGTAAAAAATTACAAATTATATTAAAAAAGAGGCAGCTACCCGTAAACAAAGTGTAAAGCAAAACTGCTATACATATTTTCATCCAAAAATTGGTCCGAGGATGGATCAATCCCACCCAAAAACCAGCAGTACAAAATGTCCAAAATTGTACTACTCAGAACAAAAATAGGAATCTCAACTCTGTCAAAATATTGTCTTAGCTCCTCTTCAAGAAAACAACCACTTCCCAATCCCGACAAAACGAGATATCCCAAAAGATATATATTCCTCTTTCAGCCGCAATCCTAGCAGCATAAAAGAAACCATCTGGGAAACCATTAACCAAAACCAAAAACCAAAAATAAAACTGTAGAAATACATAACTGAATCCAGTCTCTCCACTTTTGGCCCAAACCCATCATAATTACCACATAACCAAGGAACAGAATCAACATGGTTATAGGCCTTCTCAATGTCAATCTTGCAAATCAAACCCAGGGATCCACTTCTCAACCACGAATCCACTCATTTGTTAGCCACTAACACAACATCCAAAATCTTGTGGCTACCCATGTCTCAACAATGTTCTGTGTTTTGTTACAGAGAATGTACATCTAGTTAGCTTCTTCCAGTGGAAAACTACTTAAAATCCTTATTTTCTAGGATATGGTAAACAATGAGACCAAAACCTCAAAACACAACCATAATCAACATACATATCGAGTCTGTGCAACATAGTCCATGCATAGCTGACAATTGTAAACAGAAAACTAGAAGTCAAAACGTTGCCACAAATTCTACCACAAATGTTAGTTATGTTTTGCAAACAAAGAAGCTAAACAAGAAGCTGGAAACATTTCACTCAATGATTTTTCATTGTTATTATCAGTGAAATATTGTCCAATGATGAAAGAGATATTCGAACGGGGGCAAAAGTCAACAATATACCTTGATTTGAAACTCTTCCCACATGCCAAATCTGACAAAAGAATATACCACCCTTTGCATGAACAGCATCTACAATTGGTTTCCAGGCTTCAACTTGCTCCTTTGTCCATATACCAGGTGTAAATGGATATCTTCATTTGGAAGGAAAGAAGAATTAGTAATAGAACAATAAAAAATGTCCATATACCAGGTGTAAATGGATATCTTCATTTGGAAAGAAAGAAGAAATAGTAATAGAACAATAAAAAATGAAGACACTCACGCTTATTCACACAGATAGACACACTCTTGCACATGGACACCTACATATTTTCCTTTAACTCAATAGAAAAGATTGAAATTGGCGAACTACTAATGTTAAAAAGTACCCTTGTGCAGTATCGGAAACCCCAGCGGCTTCGGAAATGAGAAGACCTCCTTTGCTGGTCCTCTGTGAGTAATATAAGATAGCATGTGGTTGAGGAATGTTGTTGAAAGATCTCTGCCTAGTCAATGGCGCCAAGACAACTCTGAAAATTTTGGAGCGGGATAAGAAAACTACATTAAGCATTTAGACAATGTGCTCATCGTAAAGATGAACCTTGCACTAATTAAATTATAATAGCTTCTTCAAAATTAAAAAACACAAGGCAAACAAAAGAACTACCACTAAAACATGACAAAAGTTCAAAAACAACGTTAAGAACTTCATTCGATGATTAAAATTCAATCACGATTAAAAAGAACTGACACGTCCAGATCAACATACGAACTGTAGCGGGATTGTGTGTTGTGTCAGTTATAAGCTACAAAGACATACCTTTCATAAGTCTATATGGAATAATAAACTGAAAATTTCAAAAGAAAATGACGACAACCAAATAAATGAAAACAAAGTCAAAAAATGAAGAGGAAAAAGAAAGTTACTCTTTAAATTTGCAGAGAGTGCCTAAAAAGGAGATGTGACCTTCCCATTTATCTGTGAGGGTATGCAACTAAGGGATATTTGTTTACATAGATATCAGATGATTCTTCTCAAGCCCCTTAAAATCTCATAGAAAACCTCACTTTTTTCCTGTATTCTTGTTTTAAAAATAAAAACAAAAACAGAAATTTTTTTTGAATTCTTTTCCAATTGACGCATTTAATGATGATGAGCAAAGACTTTCTGCAAGACACAAATTTAAACAACTGCCAATAAAAGTTGAGGAGAGAAAATACATTTGGGCCAATACATAGAGAATAATCATCTTGTTAAATAATCATTTGAAAATGCCAGTTCCAGAGCAATCTATTAAGTTTAGGCTGCATCTGTTAGAATAGGAAATTATATTGTTGGAATAAGAAATTATATTCACATATTTTATTCTGATTTGATGTAATGGGTTGTAATGAGTTGGCTCATAATTCATGCCTTATGGCACTCCTGTAATTATGCTTTATTCTGAATATAAAAAGGGTTGAGGTTTCATTCGTTCTCTAACTCTTTCTTTTCTCTAAAATCTTCATGGTATTAGAACCACTCAGACCCTAGCTACCCTATTCCAGCCATACACAGCAGCCATACCCAAGCATGTTCTTCCGACACACTAAAGCCTCTTTTCTCTTCTCCGATAGCCTCTCTTCTTCACCCTCTCACACCGACAGTCAGTCCATCCCAGACTAGGCCTCCCGAAATCCCTTGCCCAGGCCTCGACAGTTCTCTTGGGCTACCCGTCACCCTATTAGGGTGAGTCGGCAGCCCCTCTGGCCTTCTAGGGGTTTGTTGGGAGCCCCTCTAGCCCTCTAGGCCTGTGTCGACTTGCTCTCTT